TTGTCTAACCAAAGAGCCTTATCATTTCCTGCAGAGTATGATCAAACATGGAAGTGAAAGGAAAGGAGGTAGAAAGAACTAGTCAAGGAATGCTATGGCCTCATGCAATTGCAGACTTAAATAGAGCAGCACTTGCTCCTGGTGTTAAGGAGCCCTAGGGGAAGTAAAAAGGAGGGTCAGCAGAACTGCTACCTTGGACTTCTGGAGACTTTAGTTTCTGAAATAGAAAATTATTTTGTAAATACATTAGCAACAAAAGGAGGGCTGAGGAGAATCTTGATCCTTTATTGTATATGGAGGAAATCAGACTGAAAAAGGATGGGGAAAAGGTTGAGGTACTTAGTATCTTCTTTGCCTCAGTCTTTAATAGTAATACCAGTTGTTCTCTGAGTACCCAGTCACCCAAGTGGGAAGAGAGAGATGGGGAGCAAAATCAAGCCCCCATAATACAAGGGAAATGGTCAGAGACCTGCTACACTACTCAGACACACACAAGTCTACAGAGCAGGATAGGAACCACCCAAAGGTGCTGAGGGAGCTGGTGGAAGTACTCACCAAGCCACTTTCAATCATTTATCAGTAGTCCTGGCTAACTGGGGAGGTCCCAGTTACTGGAGGTGAGCAAATGTGGCATCCATCTACAAGAAGGGCTGGAAGGAGGATCTGGGGAACTGCAGGCCTGTCAGCCTGACCTCAGTGCCAGGGAAGGTTATGAAGCAGATCATCTTGAATGCTAACACATGGTATGTACAGGACAACCCCATGCAATGCTAATGGCTTGGGGAATAGGGGCTGGAAAGCTGCTTAGTGTAAAAAGACCTGAGGGTGTTGGTCAACAGCTGTCCAAGTATGAGCCAACAGTGTGCCCAGGCAGCCAAGAAGGCCAACAGCATCCTGGTTTGTATCACAAATAGTGTGGCCAGCAGGACCAGGGAAAGGATTGTCCCCCTGCACCTCAAACGCTGTGTTCAGTTCTGGGCCCCTCACTGCAAGAAAGACATTTAGGTGCTGAAGCGCATCTAAAGAAGGGCAACGATGCTGGTGAATGGTCTAGACAACATGTCCTGTGAGGACTGGCTGAGTGAACTGGGGTTGTTTAGCCTAGAGAAAAGAAGGCTCAAGGGAGACCTTATCGCTCTCTACAGCTACCTGAAAGGAGCTTGTAGTGAGGTGAGTGTTGGTCTCTTCTCCCTGGTAACAAGCGATAGGACAAGAGGAAATATCCTCAGGTTGCAAAAGGGGAGGTTTAGATTGGAAATGAGCAAGCTGGGCCTGTTCAGCCTGGAGAAAAGATGACTGAGAGGGTATTTTATCAATGCATACAAATATCTTCAGGGCGGGTATCAAGAGGATGGGGCCAAACTCTTTTCAGTGGTGCCCAGTGACAGGACAAGGGGCAGCAGGCGAAAAATGAAGCACAGGAAGCTACAGCTAAGCATGAGGAAGAACTTCCTTACTTTGAAGGTGACAAAGCATCAGTGACAAAGCCCAGAATTGTGGAGTCTCCTTCTCTAAGGATGTTCACAACTCGCCCTGATGTGACCCATGCAGCCTGCTCTAGTTGAACCTGCTTGAGCAAGGGAATTGGACTAGATGATCTCCAGAGGTCCCTTCCAATCCCAACCATTCTGTGATTCCATGATCCAGTCATTAAAGCAAATGAGGGAAGTTTGTAAAGCCCAAAAAGTAATTGTGACAGAAGACTGGGCGCACAGAAGGGATTAACCAAGGCCCAGAGAAGGTGTGGTATCTGTTCTAATGTAAGCCGTTGTGTTACCAACAGAAATATAGTAGATCTCATGCTCTGGTTTTAAAAGATAAGTTATGATAGCATTTTAAAACAAAACAGGATCATGAGTGAAGAAATTATTTTTAAGCATTTGACAAAACTAAGGAAATCCTACTTGTGGTGACAACACTGTGTATGTAACTGTACATAATAGAAAAGATAATACTGCAGGACCAGAGGCAATGGGAACAAACCAAAATACAGGATGTTTGCAGAACATCACGAAATGCTTTTTCACTATGAAGGTGACCGAGCTCTAACACAGGTTGCAGAGAGGTTGTGGAGTGTCCATACTCAGAGACATTCAAAAAACCATCTCTGACATGGTCCTGGGCAACTTGGGGTGACCCTCTTGAGCTGGGGGTTGGACCAGATGACCTCCAGAGTTCACTTCCAACCTCAGCCCTTCTGTGATTCTATGAGTTCACAGCAACAGTTATTGCAGGAATGTCTCTGGCAAATGAACTGACTTCAGCCTAAATTCAGCTGTCAGACAATATTGATAGACATAGTAATATACAGATATCCCATATCTCCTTTCTCTTTGAGAGGGAAATTTTGTTCAGAAGGGATATAACCTTGGATTCTTGACATCATTAACTCTAGGATATTCTGCATATAACTTTTTACATGCTCAGTAGATTTAATGTATTAATAGCCTATTGACCAAGGTGAAAACTAAAAAGAACTTGCCACTTTTATTTCCACCACCTAAGGAAAAATACTGATGCCAGACTGCATACAAAAAGATCCATGGAGGTTTCCTGTTACAGGATGAGTCTTGTAATTTTATACCTCATCATTTTTTTTTAATCCAAGGTATTAAATAATGATATGAGGTTGCAGAAAGGACTTCAGGTTTGAAGTGTTATAGTGAGAGAAATTTCTTAATAAGCAGGCAAGTGTCTTCAGAATGCAACTGAGTCAGCAAACCTATTTTTATTTGTGCTCACTTTCCCATCATAATGGCACTGGCTAAGCACTGCCTGTGTTACTAGTGTTACCTCTTGGTCACTGAAGAGACCTAGACAACTTTATACCACAGGAACCAAAAGGATGAAAGAGCTAGGAAAGAATTACGCAAGTATGTCAAATGCACTGTATTTTTTTTCATAAGAGACTGTATCTTCAGAAGTGTGTGCGCATGCCTGGTGCACTGTCTGCCTCATATATTCTGGGATTTTTCTGACATCAAAACAATGCTAATTGCAAAAAAACCCTAAAATTGCTATTAATAGCAACGTAATTTATTTTCATGCAGTTTGCTCTTTTTCTTTCAGTCCATCATAAAGTTATTCTTGAAAGATTTCAGGTAAAAAAGAAAAAAAAACCACCTCTTTTCCCATTCTTCTTGCAACTACAATTTCTTGAAGGAACTAAAAAATTTAGTCTCCCTTGGGAATAATCTCTTCTTTTAAGAGTTTTCTATCTTCTATTTCAGTCATTTTATATCCAGAAGATTGAAGCAGTGGAAAGGAGAGGTCAAAAGGTGGAAACATCCATGCTTGTATAATCCCCAAAGAGGATTATTCCCCTCACAAAAAACGGCTAGTATACCATGTGAAATCAAGCATATTTATTCTGTGTCCGCAAATTGCTTGTAATAGAATTGGTGAATCTTTAGAAAAACAGAGCAACCCAAGAAAACTGAGCTTTCCCCATAGTATCAGTAAGATAGTATGAAAGTTTGAATCAGTTTTTCTAACCTGGCACTTGCCAAAGAGCTCTGCGGAGCTTTGCTTCCTCTCCCTGTACGCTTTTGGCAGCTAAAAAATGACAGGTATACAGATTTATTAGAAATGGGAGAAGGGGTACCACTTGGATTTTAGCTCTCCTATTAGTTCTGGCAAATATGCATGCATTGTTTTCTCATTTAGACCAGGGCTACACCCATTCCCAGATGGAGAAAACACATTTATTGTGTTTCTGTGCCAGGATTACACAATCAGATGTGGTCTACAACATGAGAATAATAAAAATATAATGATTTTCAGGCACAGTGTATACATAGCACTTTGTAGGACAAAAATCATTGGACAAAGACTTTGTTACTCATTTCATATGTCATCGAATGCAACAGTCAAAGGCATTTTATAAGTTTGGTGGAAAAGAGTGCTCAAAAAAAATGACATGCCTCTGAAAATCTATTGAATGTGCCAACTCAACTCCCAGTAAAACTTTATAGGAAAAATCCCCAATTTATTAGTGTCATGGATAACATTTCAAAATGAATGCCTAATTAAATTGGTATTTACCTATCGCATACAAATGTCCAACTGCTTAAAACCAAACAGGGTATCTGCTGAGACATAACTTTGATAACTGCGTTTCTGCATATGTGTGTTTTCACAGTAAATGAGAAAAATTCCCACTGAGAATTAACTTAAAATCAATGCATTACATTTATAAAATAGGATTAGATAGTACTTTCACTCAATCAAACCAGTTTACCATCAGGAAATCAATAAAGGAATAGCCCTAAAAAGTAAACCAGGCTCAACTGTTATCTTGAATGTTACTGAGTTTTTCTATATTTATAAGTATTTTTAAAATCTAGTTAAATGAGTTCTTATTTTTTTTCTCAATTCACCACAAATAATACAAGACAGAAAAATGGATCTTTTGTATATAATTGAAAAGTAGGATTAGCCGAAATAGAGTGTCTTCACTGAACATTTCCTTGGTCATTGGTCATATTTAAACATACTGGCATATTTTAATAATGTCTTATTTTTTAAAAAAGTAAATGGTAAGATGACTTGTGTTGGTGTTGCATCATTTATATCTTCTGCTCTTGCCTGGTTTCTCTTAAGAGACAGAATGTCAACCAGTTTCTGCAGTGACAGAACAAGATGGTTTCATTTGATTGTCACTGGTGATACTTTTAGCTCATTTTTCATGGCTCTGTCACACAGATTCTTAAAGAAGCTGCTTCTCATTTGGATATTGGTTTTCAGCTGCAATTTTTCATACCTGACTTGACCAATGTGATTTTCCCTGCTGTATGCTGACTTTCGCTATGATATAACTATCTGTACCAATTCAGATAACTTAAAATACTATCTGAAATTTGACTGCAGATAGCTCTGTGAAAACAAAAGGTTATTCCACTACCTGAAGCATTCAGATACATTTGTATCTCCAATTTGCTGTCATCTGTAGGGGTTTTTCTGAACTGAAAAAGAAATACATATCAGGTTAATATTCCTACCTTCCAACTCCCAGCAGCCAAGTTCTGCAGTGCCCCTGCTGCCCCCTCCAGCGTGTCTGGATTTGAGCACTCAGAAAGAAGTGTGAGGTAGGGTTTGACTATTGAAGGGTGCCACAGCATCTGGATTCCTTTGGGTGGTTCTGCACAGTCTGGAAGAGGTCCTACGCCATCCCACTGTTGGAAAGTACAAATCAAATTGTCAGTAAGCAACAGTGAAATACTTAAAAATTGCCTCAGTTGAAGCTATAACTATAACATCTATGTGTGCTTGTGTGAAGGCATCTGCCCACAAGGAGCCGTTCTCAGTTTTAGCACATCATGTGATTCTTCATAGGGAAACCAAATTTCGTACTCAACACTCCTTATAGAATAGCTATAGCATTGGCAGATATCACAGTGTTTTAGCTAGCTGGCGTAACAAAAACACTTTTCACTGCATTTATTTTTTGGGGTAGGAACAGAAGCCCAGTAAGCATGAATGTATCTTAAGAGGCAAATCTAGAAGTTGCATGGGAAGAAGAGATTTTTCTTTTTTCACATCCTGCTCAGTTTCTGCATCCTCTCTTTTCTTATGAGGGAAAAAACAACAATGCGAAACACTACTGTAGAAAACTAAATCATTCAAGGCCATGAGTCTTCCATCCCTTGAAAGGCCCAAGTGTGACAAGTCCTGCACAACTTCTTCTGCCTTCTCGCTGTGAAAGTGCCTGAGGCATTTGGCCATACAGCCAGCCAGCCACTGGGTCTGAGACACAAAGCCAGTAGAACCACCTCTCACAAAACAGCCTCTTCCTCTCATCACATACAGAGTTTTGCCATGAATATAATCCTGGTCTGATATCCAAAATGGGTAATATTAAAACCTTGAGAACAAGCAGGTTATGGCACAAACCCCACTTTTACCAGAAAGAGAAACTTTTTTTGCAGGAGAACAGGGATTCACCTCTCCAGTGGAATGCCCAATACCTGCAGCTAAGCATAAAACAGCTTAAAAGAAGGAAAATCAAGGACTTTTTTTTGCTTTTCTTAAACAAAAGGAAGATGGGGAATACACTTTTACAGAAAGCTTAAATGTGATTTCTATCTGTATATGTAATGTGTATTTTGCTTTGTTCAGATAAAGGGATTTAGAAAATTCATAGCCTTAATACCATTGTTAGGAACAAGTCTTGACTTTTTAATAAAATCTCTTTTCTAACACCTCTGACATGTCCAGATTGCCATATGATACAAAGTAAACCTTTTAATGCCTTGGGTTAGAGCTTATGTGATTACATAGGTAAAAAACGTGTATCACAACATTAAACATCTACTAGACATACAAAGATAGCACATGCCAAATTAATTCCTTGTTTAGCTCTGCAACAGCTAATTTGATTTTTATGAATCAAACATCACAATACCTGCGCTTGGAAAGACCTAGATTATCTCATTTTCAGGAAGTGTCAATCATTATTTTATTTAAGTTAACTTGAAAAATCTACATGTATTTTAAGGGACAATCAAACGGTTTTTCTAATACCAACTATCATAACTTAATTTTAACAAGGTCTTACTAGATTACTACCACTGAGAATGCAGACCACTATCGTTTCCTAAATTAAAGCAGAACAAACACCAAAGTGGAAAGCTAGTGGGACCATTTAACACACATGAACAGTTACTGAAAACCAGAAAGCTGCTCAGATATGAAACTCACTGCACTGGACAAAAGTTACTGTAGTTTAAAAGAACTTGCACAGCAATACCCAGTGGTGGTTGAGAACCTACAGGAAAATTGCCTTCTGGAGAAAAAATCCCTTTAAATAACACCATTACAGATCTGTGCCTTTGAATTTTTTAATGCATTTCTGCCTTTAAACCAACAGGTTGACTTTGCTGCATACGCCTCAGTTCTCCTTTTTTTTTCCATATAAATCACCATCCTTGCCAGAAATGACTTCTCATCAGCTCATAAAAAATACATTAAAACCTGCTTCTTATTTTAACTCTTGGAATTCAATCATTTCCACTGTCAGAATTTCTTGGGAAAAAAATGAGAAATATCTTACAGGGCAAATCTGACCCTACACCAGATTTAGGCTTTGTATCTTAGTAAGACCACTAAAAATAATTTTTTATTTTTATTTTTTAACTCAGGTATTTACACTGTTATAATCCTAAGGACTACTAAAAACCAGACAATGTAAACAGAACTGTATATATGTTCATGCTGTGCTGGTACATATAAAGCACTAGAAATGATACTTGCAGATAAATTAATTTTTAATGTGGTTTTGCCATTCTGCCCAGTAATGAGAAAACGTTAAAGAAAAAATAAAGGCAGACAAATGATTGCATTTCCCTGCTCTTCTTGCAACTCACTGGCAGCACGACTGCATTAATTTATCACCAACTGTGGGGAAAGACCTTTCTCTGAAAGCACTGTGAAGCCTCAGGTTCCTTGCAAAGGTCATGGAAGTCTTGGTACTGCACATGCATGTCCAGTGAAGGCATAGTAAATCCCACGACATTGGATAATGTCCTGCCTATTCTTTGGACGTGGTGTGTGTGCCCAGAGCAGCTGAGCAGCATGCATAGGGCGGGTGTCACTGCCAGCCATGCGTAACGTACGTGCTGTGCCTACAACATCTTCAAGGTTGTGCGATAAAGGGTGACAGAACTTTATCTGCTTCCCAGGAGGTAGAGGGCACAAGCAACTGACCTGTCACATAGTCCCTGTCTCTATGTTTCAGTTCCTCTCTGCTCTTGCATGTGTGATCTCAGCTAACCCTTTACTGAATGGTTTAATGGCTTCTGGCGTCTTCCACATAGCTGAGACTAGTGCCTGCAGCTGTACAGCCCAACTGTTGCAGGGCATGCAGGACTGATAGAGGTCAGAAAAGAAGCTATTGCAAAGGATATTTTCCTGAACTTCACCCATTTGTTTTGTATTTCATAAATATAAGCATCGATTGCCTGAATGAAAAAAAGATTACGATATTACAGTCCATTTTCTTGTGCCTAAAGCATGGCAGAATTTGCTTTGTAATTCACATTGCTCGATATTAATGAACGGAGGCAGTGTGCTAAACAACTCTACCTAGTGAATTACTGAAATGACTACTGTATGTTGCAGACCATCACGAATGATCAGGAAGATCTATTTGAGATAGGCTGTGGATGTAGTAGGAGCCTCTGAAAAAGAGGACGACTGCATGCAATTACTCTTCATAGCTTATGTTAAGAAGTTAAAAAAAGTCACAAACAAATATTCCTTCCAGGCTTCTCTCCTTCAACTGAAATTACTCACATATATTATGGCTGAAGCTGACAAACTGTTTGCTACGTGGGTGAGATACAAATCTCTCATTTCCTGAAACTGGTGCAAAGAAAGCATGGAAGTCAAGAGGAACAAAAAGATGAATGCAGAGATCTTTAAGACCAACAGACTTTTCAGAGTAAGAGCATTCTAATAAAGTTTCCAAAGTTTTCACATTACTATGGAACTCTGAGAAGAGAAAAAGATCACCCATTTTGATACTCCCCCATGCTCCACAACAGATTATCTAATGCCTTCTTCCTCACATTAATGAAAGCAAAACTATGTTTATAGTGTAATTGTACTGAATACCAGGGAAGGCTTAAACTCAGTAAGAGAAGTGTACTCTCCATATTTTGTTTTGTACCAACAACCTCAAGTTGCTGGGGTTTGTTATTAAGGAGTGTCACATGACGGTAGCTTTTCCTGTGATAACAACACAACAGTGTTTTATTTTCATTTATTAAATGTGATCACTTTCCTCTCTCCCAGTGTGTGCAAAATAATGCTACTAAAAAAAGAAAATCTAGGAAAACTCAAAACCCAGCAATGACTAAACCCATCTTGATCTGTCTCCAATGATCCTAGACATTTGAGATAGTCTGATAACATCGTAGCTGTGGTCTTTGTAGCTGCAGTGACAAAAATTATATCAGCAATTAAACAGTGCTCACAAAAAGCATTTTTGAAATGCCAAAGACATTTAAACTAATGAGCCCCCTAAAAGGACAATGACTTCTCACCCTGAGTATCTTAGAAGCTGTGGCAGTCTATGCCAGCATGTCAGTACAACATCATCTTTTGGAAACCTTTGTCCAAGAGACGCATTGACCAATGGTGTTGAGAGCAGAAATCTAAACTTAAACAACAAAAATTAATCAAAATCATAGTGCTTGCTTGCAGGGGTGATGGGAATCCATGCAGCTGACACACAGGAAGCAGGAATACCGCTATTTAAGTCAAGTCAAATTTCAGTTCAAGACACCCAGGTCTAAGGAAAGGTGGTGAATATAAATGAAGGTGTCTACTGACAAGAGACTACAGGAGTAGGATGGGGGAGGGCAGAGCTGCTGTGGTCCAACAACATGCAGTCCCCAGAAAGCTGGGCAATTTTTGGATAGTTTATTTCATAAATAACAGTAACCTCCCCAATTTGATGCAACAATGTTTACAATTTTGGGAAAGGTGTTTGGAATGTTCTGAAATCATTCTCATGTTTTCAATTTTTATTAATGATCTCAATAAATCTAAACTGTACTTCAGATTATGTATTACATTCTTAACTCAATTTTCAGTGCCTTTATGAATCTTTTTTATATTATTACACAGCTAAGAAAAATAATTTTATTCAATTTGTGCATTTTGTCTTTGCTTAAGACCAGACCCCTCTCAAAGAAAGCAGGATGGAGCTCAATCCAGGGACAAGAGTCTTTGGCATCTCCCTGTATCTCCTTCTCCTCACTCCTCTCCATACGAAGCTGAAGCTGACTGGCTTTGCATTATATGCCACAACCTGACAGATACAAATCATACTTAATAACCCTGTTGTTTGGACTTTGAAAACAACCTGGTCATGCATGATCCTGAGATTCCCAGGGCATACAAGATGTTTCTGTGTAGACAAGCAAGACTTAAGAAATGGTTGCTAAGAAGCTATGTAAGAAGCTGCTCGATACAGTCAATTTCTTGCTAATGAACATCTGACACAACCAATTTGTAAAAGACAAGGAAGCAACAAGTGGAAATAATACCTTCCTGAGCAGAACATACTGTCAACATGGCCTTTCACCCCTAATCTCATTTCCTAAATCCAGGAGCTGTTGCCATTTCTCGGTTTCTGTGTTTATTAATTTGGTATGGCTTGATAGAGTACTGAAATGTAATTGGTAAAATAGTGGTCTCACCACATGAAAAGGCCTGACAGCTTTATTTTTTATTCCTTTTGAAATATTGTCTTAAACCTGCTATTTCACCTGGATAGAATTTACAGCACACTTAGCAAGCATGCCAAAGGGATGTGCCAGTCAATTCATAACGATATGTAATGGTGCTGTTACACCTTAAGGCTCCTGACAGAAGGTAAAACAGGTCAGGCTCATTTCAAAAGTGTCACTTCCAATCAAAAATCATATTCTGGGCTAGATTCTGGGTTAACAAGAATGATCACAGATGGGGAACTCAAGAGGAGTGTGAAGTCAAGAAGTCAGCCTGGTTCTTGTAAGTGAAGAAATGAAATAGTGCCACGTGTATATAATGGGCTGCATAACAAGAAACAGAGTAATGATTAATGACCACTACCTGCTTCTTCTACTGAAGTTGGACCATGGACCTTATTTTCCCTAACTGCTTTTTTGAACATAATCCTTGTTTCTTGTTCAGATGAAAGAATAAACCTGCTGGCTGCCAACAGCAGGGACAAAATTTTCAGCAGTGAAAAAATTAGTTTCCATCTGAACAGTGACATGATACAAGGCAGAGAGGTCTGTATCTACAATGTCCTAGTCAGAGACGAGAGCCTCGGCAGCTGGAGAGCTTTGTGGTATAAGCTGATCATAGGTAAGCAGCAAAGAGAATATGACGAACAATGGTGACATCAGGGAATTACAGTCCTTGGGATCCAAGACAGAAATAAAGTCAGGTCAGTCTCATTTTTCCTGGGGCTTTTATGGAAGTTTTGCTTCCCGTTTTCCCTGTAGACAGTAAAAATGCTGTATCTGGCTTTCAATGCAAATCTTTAGAAGCTTTGGGTCATTGAAATTTAATGACAAAGCATACACCTCAGGAACATCTCTGAGCTCTGGTAAATCGCCAAAGAGAAGAATGATTGTGGGCTCCTTTAACACCACCCAACTTTATTCTGAAATGTAAAGAACACTTGTTTCTTGTGATCCTAAGGGAACTCCTTAAATCAAGTCATTTGAAAGTTGTCATTAGATTTAACTATAACCTGAACCAAGAAACTCCTCTGATTTCAAGATGCAGAGAACTTGCCATTGATTTAGACAACTGATGTCATAAATGACCAATATTTTCCAATTTGTTCTTGAAAGTCCTTTCAAGGAAAATCACCTTTTGTATTACCAATCAGTCCTGCTCTTCTTTTCAAGTAGCTTATGTGTGACTACAACTGAAGAGAGAAGTAGGGATAATAGTTTCCTAAATCATAAACCAAATAAATTAACTTCTACTTTCTTTACAGAGAAAACCAATGAGAATGTGACTTTAAAGTCACAGAAAGTTTCTCCTGCTTAAAGGTTTAAGAAACAAACACCCCAAGTGTGTACGAGACTTTTTTTTTCAGTATAGAAAATTGTAACTTCGTCCACGTCCGCCATCTAAAATGATACAGCTGGTGCTCTTCTTCAATTACAGTACTTTTGTGACAAGGTTGAATACTTTTATTTAAAAATTAAAGACAACCCCATATTGGAGAAGGAGTTCAAAATACACACACTTGAGAAACTGAGGGACTGAAGCAGCATACTGTAAAAGGAAAATTTCAAAACTGCATTCACAAAATTCTGAACATTTTTACCCCACCCTATTTTGTAAGCCTCATCTTCTGAGGAAGACTGAAACAATCCATATTCTTATACGAGAATCTCACGCACTGCCAAAAAAAGAATGATACCTATACCCTCAACACATATTTTCTGGGTACATAAAACGCAGCAGGCAGCAGAACTGGAAACTGCTTTCCTGTACTGAGGTGTCACAACTCTTAGAGACGTGCCTGTGCCCTGTGCTTTGTCTGACAGGAAATGCAAAACTCTCAAGTCTTAAAGGAATCACGCAGGCAAATGACGGGAGTTTCAATACTGGGCGGAACTCCACCTTGTGTATCTGTAAATAACAGTAATAATGAGCTCAAAGAAAGATTTTGTAATATTTTTTTTAAACACTTCTTTAGAACTTTTCCAACAAGTAACTAAGGTTTGTATTGACTAGCGTGAACGATGTATTAAACGTAGCCTAAAACTCATTGCTGTCCCTTCATGGGGCACATGGGTAACCGACTACTTTTATATCTTTCTTGTCTCCATTTCTTTGAGGTTTCCTTCCACAGGTTCAAATCCATGGTGGTGTGAAGCATTTTATGTTTCAGATGTTGTAAATCACTGCACCCTGTGAAGATTCCATAGGCATGCCTTTGTTATTTACATGTAAAACATGGTTCAACATGAACACGATTTTCAGATCTGTAGGATATTTCAGAGCACAAAAGCTTCACTGCTGAGGCACTTAAAGGAATGAGCACTCTAAAAATAGCATCCCAAGGAGAGCACAAGACCTGTTCTGAGGGACAGAACAAGCAGTATCCAACAGCTTAAGCACTGCAATTGAAGAGAGATTATCAAAGGTATTACCTGGAAAAATTTAAGAATCCTACCGTAAAAGAATATGTACGTGTGCCATAGGCAGGGTAGCAGTCAGCACACATGGAGACAATGTACAGGGAAAGGACATGTGAAAATGTTCTCCGGCAGAAAGTGTTAATGAGATTAATTTAGATGAGTGAATTCTGACTAACCTGAGGAACACAAGATGACCATGCTGTAAAGATTTTTGCCTGGAGAAAAAAAAAAAATCCTCCAACCCCCCATGGATACTGATTTATCTTGACACACACAGGAACAGTAACCAGAGTATTCCTGACTGTGACACAGCCTAGAAGAAGAAAGTTACTCCTGCTTTTCAGTAGTATGAATCTAGTTGGGTCCCGAAAAAACTCCAGATGACAGAGTGAAAGCAGCAGAAAACTTTCTGGTTTCTTTTTTCCCCCATTTATGAGGGTAACTTGGGAGAGCTGTTTCCAGCACGGTGATCTTGCTGATAGACCTCAGTCACATTTGATTTTAGTAGTGTTCTAGTTAATCTGGTAACATTTTTTAAAATATTCAGTATGGTCAACAACAGGTAAGTATCATGGGGTGAGAATAATGCCCTCTGCAGAAGGTTCACAAGGATGCCTGAAACTCCCGAACTGAGTAACAGTCACAGGCGAGAACTGGTATATGGCAAGATGGGGCAGGCTGTCCAGATTTAGAGGAAATTAGATGAAAGAAAAAAAAATCATTAAAAAAATATTTTAAATTTTTGTAAGGGGAAGTGATCCTGTGCATAACAAAATTAGTTCTGGAAAGAGTAAATTTATTTCCTTGTTGCAGAAAGGGCTCCTGAACATAAACCTGAAAGTATGTGCATAGTTTTATTTTTTTTTGGATTTTAAAAATTATATTAAACACTTCCATTAGACAAACACAAGCAGATCTGAAGACACCTTTACTATGCTAATAATGAACACCCACAGAAAGAGACAAAAGGTATCTCAGAACAGGTAGAAGCACATATATTGTAAAGGAAATGAGATGGAAGAGATTATTTCTTTGGCCTGGAGAAGGAGAAAGATCCTTTATAGGGAACCTTTAAAGTACAGAGAAGCCCGTCAGGAACATTGCAACAGCAGTACACAGTTAGAAGTATGAACCCAATATCCAGAAATCACAGCACGAATATAAATGGAAAAATCTAAAAAGAATTTGTATAGTGTGTGTCCACATGTGTTGACAAACAGAGCACTGAAAGAGAAAGGAGGGTTGCAGTATGACCCATTCATACCCAGACGTGCTATTTTTGTTCCCGCACTTCGAGCAACTCCAAGCGTAGTGTGTGGGAACTGTTAATTTGGGAACAGGGATGATAACTACTTTATGAGGTAAGATTAATTTGCTTTGGCACTTTTTATCTCACTGTAGCCTAATACAGGAATACCAACAAAAGGCCATAATTAATCCAACTTATCTGATGATTGCAGTGTTTAATTAGAAGAGTAGGTGAAATTACAAGTCTCACTAGTCATGAGTGCTGCATTTTTCAGCACCTGAATCTCAGCTTGATAATGTTCTATAATTTTTCCACATTACCATAACCTGCCTTTATGAACTCAGGGATATTTTCAATACCAGGTTACATCATTTATTCACATACCCAGTGTACCTAACTGCTTAGTCAAATGAATATTTTCTTTGAGCAATCTGAAACAGAAATAAATGGCAATGGAAAAGACAAAGTCTAGGAAGAGATGGAGAACTACCAGCTGCCAGCACAGGTCATTTGAAAAAGCTCATAAATTGGCAGCCATTCCTATTGCTATTTAGTGTGTGCACTGATAGGAAAATGTCTTTCTCTGCAATTTAATCATCATCATTCTCCAAATTTTAAGTCATTAATGGAAAAAACAAGGAGATAAATACACCTTGAAAATCAACCCACGTAATAAAATCTGCAGCACCTCTAATAACTTGAAACAATCAAGACTTTACTTCTCAATCTTTTTCTTGGTAATGACATAAAAAAGCATACATATTTTGATATATCTAAACATTTACTCACATTGCTTGATTCAATCCTGTACAGTTTTCTCTCAACATGTAGAGAGAGAACACAAAACTAACTTTGAAGTAAGCATACAAATACAAGCCTGGTGTTTGCTTGTACCAAGGCCTCTCTCTACACCTGTGTGGAAGTACAGTGTAAAGTACATGCAGATTACATCTGAATGTTAAGACTTAACACTGCTCATGACAAACAGCTTCCTTTAACAGACTGAGCATTTACAGTATTTACGGCAGTGTACCCATGACAACAGTTTCCTGGTGCCAGCACGTAATGTGCAACTTTCTCAAGCAAACATATTCCATTATTCCAGAGCAATTCCTGCTTTAAGCTCTCAGCTAATTAACAAAGGCAAGAGTTCTGTGTATTATGCATCACACACTTTACTTCTAACACAGTGCATTAATTATTTATATTTAAAATGATGGGCACTTCAAGTACTTGCAACACAGCTGCAAGTAAGTTTCATTACCTGATCTTGTGATTTCTTTTTCTTCTTCTTCTTCCCCCAGCACCCTGAACTTTCTGCATCTTTTCCATTGGCATCACCACAGAGTAATCCATCAAGTTCATCTGTTCCCATCTGCTGTCCCTGAGATGTTTCTGCAGCTAGCCTGTATGAGAGGTTCCTCAAAATGCACACACAGTTTTCCACGGTCTGAAAAGTATGGCAAACAAAACAAAACCCAAAAAACACACCAGAAAAAAAGTTAAAATCCTACCCTTACTCTAGATACAAAGCAGAAGAAATATCATCGATCTTTGCACATAAATTTTCCCAGCACAATTATCTGCTCATTTCCGAGTGCTCCCTAGATAACCACAGCTTAAGAGATTTAGAAATTTTTATGGAAACAAATCAGGAGTCTGGACAGTATTTTTCCAGGAGTTTTTTTATTGTCATTCTGAATTGCATGCTGGAGCCCCATGTGAAACAGAAGCTGAGGTAAAGAGTCATCAAAAGAACTTGAACACACAGAGAATGTCAGCAAACTCCCACCTCAATGAACAGAAAATGCCCTGAGGCAACAGGTTCTGGGTTTGGTTTGCGTTTTCTTTTCTGGCATAAATTCTGTGCCACAATAGAAAACACAAAAATGCAGAAGTCACCAGAAAAATTGGATCCGAGTTCTGTTTCACAAGTACTTGTAGCATGGCCATATGATGCTTCTTGAGTCCCAGAGATAAGACTAGATATGTCAGTCCTGCTGCTTTTACTGCTTCTAGCCAGGCTGCAGATACCCTGTGGGCAGCCCTTCCCTCTCATCCATTTGTCCCCCTAATAGGCTGTGCCTTCTGTAGAAGATGCTGGCAGGAATCCAGAAATGGAGTGAGACCCAGTGGACAAAAATTCACTGATAATTCAATATAATTTCTGCAAGTCTAAAAGAAGTTCAGTTTAGACTTACCTGAAGCTTCTCCATTTAGTTTGTTCAATTTGGTTTGACTATACCTAATAAGAAGGATACGAGCTTAATTTTCTGGAGGCAGGGAAAACATGATTAAAAAAATCCATTTTTATCTGTCTGTATTTATTTCAACTATTCTTAATGCTCCATAGAGGTAAAAAGCTATGGTCACTACATCCCAGCTCCATTGCTCCATTAACCCAGAACAGAACTACTGAGAGGCTTTCGGCTCTTACTCTGCCATATTCACCAGTGAGGCAAACAGATGGAGCTTCATTTACTTTTATATAGTGTGAGCTTATGCCAGGTATGCAGTTGGCACACAGTTTTTGCAATGACATTAAGTTCCAGAGATGATACTCAAACTTACCTATGCAGGATTATTGTTTTACTTTTTAACGCAGGTGAAATTTCACAATACACTTGTACTAATTTGAAATCTCCAGTCAAATACAAAAACAGATGTAGATGTATGTGTGTAGAAAGTGTTCTTAGTGCACCTTTCATACTTGAAAGCTTTGCAGACCTCGCAGTGGCCATATAATTTTAAAAAAGTTTGATGTCTCTTTTACTTTTCCATATATGAATTTTATTTGCTCTTGCTAATACTTACTTCTGCACAGCCATAGTGAACTTTGAAGCTTTGTGTTTGTCTATTAGGGTTATAAATTTTAATTCCCATTTTTACAAATAACAGTTTTCATACTTAATTCTCTTTATGTTGAAAACAAATAAGCTGAGCCCACAGCAAGGACAACATTACCTCAAACTGAAAACTGATAAGCAAACTTTAAAGGCTCAAATGCAATCAACACCTTCTTCACTAAGGTGAACTCCTATAAGCCACACAAGCTGGTTCTAGCCACACAGCTGGACAGACTTCACTCCTTCTTGACTTGTACCTTTGAACTTTCCAGGATCCTTGTATTCCTCACTCCTTTATCAGTTTCACCATAAGGGGACTGAATATGAGTTCACTAGTCTTTCTACTTTAATAGATTAAATTAAAATTATGATCAGCAACTTTGTCAGGTAACCATGCCCAAGTCAGTCATTTTTAACACTTTAACTTGAATTAGCATAGCTTTTCCTTACTACATATTTACAAGAAACAATGCTGCTAAGATGCTTGAAACGCTGCTATGATTTATGCACTCTTAACTTCACCAACATGAGGAATGACTTTAACAACAGCTCTGCATGTGCCTGCAAGTCCTCAATCCTCTTTCAGAGCCTGCATGAGCAGAAACTAGTTTTTCAGCATTTCAGTTTTTCGTCACTAACAGTATTACCAAATTATCTAATAGGGCAATTGTCATGGTATTTGGAAAACAACATTTATAACTTTATTTTAAAATTCAATTGTTTTGTTACAACAGCACCATTTTTGAAACTAGATACCAAGTGATTTAGAGTTATTTAAACATTTTAATTAAATTACAGTCTACTTTTAGGCAGAAGGTTAAAACTACTAAGGCAGGCAGAATAACTTTTCTCTCATTTCTTCATTTTTTCCTTCATACATGTCTCAGCCTGTAGTTTTTCCAAGTCATGCCAGGTATGAGTATAAACAGAACAGTCTATATTAACAAGAGGCAGCAAAACAGGAAGCTTACTGTGCTCCTTATTTATCCTTTTTAACAGTAAAACAGCCCAGCACCACACAGCACAAACTTCTCATAATTCCTCTCTCTGTCCCCTAAATTCATAGACAAATTTCACCTATTTGGTTCAAGCTAATGACCAGAGAGTTCTGGAGAGTACCACTCTCCAATCTATAAACCCACAGAGGTCCATGGGCAACTATCTGCGAAGGATCATTTGGGAATACAAACCAGCAGGCTTTAAAACCTTGTTGCATAAAAGGCTGTTCTCCCTTTCAAACTGAAATCTCTGATTCTTAGGGGTTTGCAAATAGACCACAGTTGCTCTGCAACAGCAACAGCAATTAATTTAGCACCATATACTTAAAGCAAAAGGTATTAGAAGCTAGTCCTTTTCTTCTTTTTCTGGAATACTTTAGTGTATTACAAATCTTCAGCTGTAAACACTTGAAGCGTTTTTCATTAGGCAGTGCCTTTCAACTTTGGAGAAGCCTGCTCATATTCTAGTACTTTCAGAGAAGTAAAGTTGACACAAAAATACATCTTAAAACAGTTGTTACTGAAGGCATTAATTAATCCTCTTCAAAGAAGAAATAATGTTTGCTGTAATGCCAAACAGCCCATTAATTGTTTGTTGGTTTGCTTTGTAAGCCTACCTCACTATTATTAGCTCTGCCTTATACTGGGTACTGGAAAATCCATTTTAAGGTAAACCTGGCAGAGCAATATAAGGAACTTTACATGGAATATGACATCTTTGCTCTTCTTAAACGAGTAGCCTCTGTGTTCCCTTAGAAGTGTGAGGATGACATGCCTACCAGTGCGCACTACACAGGCAGACACAAATCCAATACTTAGCGCACAAAAATACACAGCTCAACAGAAGGAAAATAGAAAGATTGGCTACATTATGCTTTGCTAAGGCATCTCCCTCACAACGTATTCTTTCAAAGAACAACCTGTCACTTTATAGTCCTGATGTACCCTGAATACCTGGATCCCTTGCACTTGAAAAGACAAAGATGACAAACCTTACTATCAATTTCACTGCTCCCCAGAGCAGACTGGATCACATACAGCAATGCATCCGTCAGGCCATCACATTCCCTCATTCTTCTGCGGGCCTCCTCTCCAGCAGAGCTGACATTCCTGCAAGGCAACAGCAAGGGTCACCACCTCCACAGCTCTCCTGCCCACCTCCCCTCCTGAAACCTTCTCACCATTGACATACAGATAAAACACTTGTTTTCTGTTCTCCTTTCACCAGTTCAGAGCTGTGAATAATGAAGACAGCTGTGAATGAGCTCAGGAAATGTAACAGGGAGGGGAACAAATGGAAGTCATCAGGTCCTCCACAGGAAGGGGCAGAGAGGCCAAGCAGCATGTGCCCACCTGAGCAGGGAGGCTCACTGCCTGCTAAAATCTGGAGAAGGGCTGATAATTATTTTTTTTTTAAATAGTAGTGAGAAAGTGTATTTAAAATGTGCATATGTACATATAAATCAGGCTTTAAAAAGTCTAGAGGTTTTGCCAAAGAAATCTCCCAGGATTTGAAGAGCCCAGTAGTTAGGGCTCTTAACTTGAGAAAAAAATACTATCAAAGCATAACATAAACCACCTGGTGTTGCTCGCTCCTCATTTGACATAAGTGTTTCCTTTTCTCTCTCATTTTAAGAGAACATTAATGCCTCAATCTTCTCGTTACATAGTTACTCACAAGTTGTTTTACACTGCAAAATTTAGAACCTCAGCCTATTATAACAACTGTGTTCCTCAGACAGGGCCAGAGGGCCTCGTGAACACATTGATAAAAACACAATTAAAACAAAATTTACTGCCTAACGTGTCATAAAGTTCAAAATATTTATATATAAAGAAACAAATATATATGAAAAAGCACCTATAAATAGAATCTATACTTGCTACCATCAAGTCTCCCTGACGCATTCAAATTTGCACAGCAATTTTGATTTGGAAATGGTTGAATTAGCAATCTCAGGAATGGGGTGAAACTTTTCACATAGTCTCCTTCAGTAGGGAATTTTTTTAACCCTTTGGCACTGGCCTGTTGATTATGCCATTTTCAAATGCCTTTGCATTAAGGATGGAAAAATGATACGAAACTTTGGAGGGGAGAATGAATTTTAGATGGAGGAAGGTGAGAGGACTTAAGGATAGGTTTCCTTTCAGTTCTTTTTTTGCTCTATCTGCTTCATCCTGTTCTGCCTCCCTATCATCTAAAAACCAGAATTTCCATTCCCCCAAAGCACCAAAGAGTTTTCCTAATCAAGTAATCTTACAACTGGACAATCCCCCAGTCCCTCCAATACAGGTTCCTAATTGATTCTGCTCCCTAAACACACATGAGTTTCCATCTACACTTGCATCCTTACAAAGTTCTAATTAGTTCTGCTTTCCCTCACAAGCTGCCTCAATTAATTCAATACCATTCCCTTCACCTCTGCAGACAGCCTGACAAAAAAAATTCAGCCCAGGAGTACTAGAATGAATTCCTTTATCTTCCTAGCTCACAAATTCATGCTTTCCATTCTCCTTGAGATTCCCTAGTTCACCACACGTTACACATCAGGAGTGTGCTCTTCATAATGGCTTGCAAGTTTTGTGTTGCCATCTGGTCCCTGAACTCTGTACCTCCTTCCCCCTTCTCTGCTGCTTAAGAGCAGCAGATGAGGGCTTTTCCTCCAGTTCATGTGGAAACCTGCTGGGTCTGGAGAGCTTCAATTGGAAAAAGTCTTTCATTGGCTCTCCTTTTGAAATGGTGGAAACCTTTCAACTTCCCTTTGGATGACAGAAATCAGTAGGTGAAATCATAGAGCATGGTTTTCCCAAAACAATGCCCACACCCTATATTCGCAGGACTGTGGACTCTGCCTACAGTTTATTTTTAGTAGGCTATCCCCTTACAAAAGGCAACAACTCCACGAGAAATTCCGGAAGGGCAGCATATATAGGAAAAGCAGAATCATGGATCTGAAAAGTGCATTATGGGGTGGGCAGTGCAGAGAAGGGGGATCAGAGGACTTCTTTTATTTGAAATTCTACTCTCCCACCTGCAGGAAGATAGAGAGTTGTATCCAGCCCTAAAAGAATAACTGCACAAATTACAACAGGAGGATGCTGAGGAATTGTTCTTAGCACACCTTCTTTCCTGACAATGTTACCGAATCCTTTTAATCAGAACTAGATGCAACAGTCTGTAGTAATGTAATGTGTCCAGTCTTCTTAATTTTCTGCATTTATATATACTGTGTGCAAGCTTTCAAATTATACAGACTTATACGTTGGCAGAAACAGAGAAAGAAATTCTTCCTGATCTTTTCATTGAGACAATTTCTCCTTCCCTCTACTATGGTCAAATGCATGTCACCTTGAATCTCCAGAGCATGCAGAGGCTGGCAGCCTCTCAGCTCCTTTCCAGGTTCACCAGAAACTCCTCATCACCAAGACAACCATGTCAACCTTATAGTCCCTGAGATGTGAGCTGTCCGCCTCATTCATTTCTAGCCAAACAAAGAATATGAGGCTTTTATACAAAGTAATACAAACACACTAGGCGCACATCTTGCACAGACAATATATTTCCTTGCCCTGTGTGGAGGAGCTGTCGAGTTAATTTCTTCTGTTTATCATCCTTCTTATGCTCCAGTTGCTTCTGTAATCAAGAGGTGGGTATGCCAAATTCCCATGACTGCTTTTCCTTTTCTTTTAAAAGTCTCTGCCTAGTTTCTGCACTGACTCATAGCTACTCCAGCCCTCCCCAGAACTGGCATATTTATCTACATGGGAAATAGCTTAAAACCCAAGACAAATCCAAACCCGGCACCAGCATTTTGGCAGAAATAGTAATTTGATTATTTAAAAAGAAATACTTCTCATTATCTTACTATTCCCATTCCACTTCTATTGATGGAATCATTGTTAACAGATCTTTCATAGAGGGTCTCTAATATCATCATGTTCAAGCTATGTAATTCTGTGAAAGAGAAGCAAGCTCCAGATTATGTGAGCTGACAAAGAAAACATTCTGCCATCTTAATTTTATTATTTCTCATTGCTAACTGGAACACGTTGTAGCTGTCACTGTGACAAGGAGGAAGACATGATTTGTCATTTGTGAATTTCCAGGTCACTGTGCAAACCTTAAACTGGAGCATTAGTAACGCTGGCAAAATGTCTCACTAAGTAAACACATATTTCTCCAGTGTCAGTCCCCAAACAAGTGACCACATTTTCTGGATTTTTGAAGAGATACAATGGATAGGTTTACAAGAGAAAAAACAACTTTGCCATCATAAAGGCAGTCCAGCAAAACCTTGATTGCCTGGTAAATTCTGATTCTTCGTGGAAACTCTACTCACATGGTATATGTGAGATATAGGCTGATATTTTGAATCTAACAGGACAAGAAGTCCTTTAGACCTCTATACTCCAGTAAAACGAATTTCAAATAGAATCCAGTCACACAGGAATACCAAGAAAACAGAGTACTGAAGAATAACTCTCAGCTTAGTCAGAAGGTCCCACTCAGACCTCCAAATACTTGCTAACGTAAATAGCTTCTTCTCAGGAGACGAACACTAAGAAAAAGATAGAACAAAAGCTCAGACCTGTGGCTCATCCAACCGCAACTTTATGAACAGATGGAAGACTGATAATAATGTAGGAATGGAAAAGAACTACAGTAATCCAGCTTCAGTTTTAAGGGAAAATATCTCACAGCTATCATTTCAACACCTGATAACTAACAGCAGGCATGATCCTCCCAACATACATTATGGGTGTTATAGAAGCATAGAATAGTGAGGGTTGGAAAG